CTAGAACATTCTTTTATTGACCTGATTCTAGCTCTTGAACAAAGCCATTGAGTAGAGCAGTAGTTTCTGACATTATACATAAGTCAGAGACAATTTCTAGAAACCAGTCTGAACTCCAACATCTTCCTGAATTTGGCGCACCTTTAAGATGGTCCTAGATAATCAGTTTCCAAGAAAACCTGACCTACGTCCCCATCACTCAGCGTTGCTCCCCTTGGCTTTGCTGACTGGTGTTGGTGCAGCCCTGGGCCATCTCGGTCCTATTACTGAAGATGCTTATTCCTTCTCTGCAAAATTGATTCTAATACTCTTGTAGAGAGAGTATTCATTTTGTCTCAATCCATGACTGTACAGAAAAACATCTGTTCAAAACTGCTGATGGCTTTGGCTGTTCCATGGCTCATTTATTTTTATTTTTTGCTTTACTATCACGGATTTTTTTCCCCTTTCATCTTCTTAAAGGAAATGGTTTGCTCTGCAGATTAAAAAGTGGTTCATTTGCCTACCTGTTCATCCATCTATCCATCCATCCAGCCATCCTTCCTTCAAACCAGAAGCAGATTACTTTGTAAAATTTTGTGTAGTCCCTTCAACTTCAGTATGAAAAAAAACCTAAGCCCAAAGCAATTTACTAATTTGCTTGAGATTCACACAGGCAGTTAGAAGTGGACTATAGGACAGAGCCAAGTCTCCTGGTTAGTCTCCAGTTCAGTCCCATCTTGTGTTGCTTCTTTCCAAAAGGGCACACTAGCAGGTCTGGAGTGAGGAAGATAGAATCAGGAGGAAGAAGAAGAAGAGAGCTCAGCACTTGGAAAAGAACAGCCAGGGCTGGGGATTGTTGACAAAGAGATGGGGCCTACAGACTGTTCAGAGAGCCATATTTCACCAGGCACCAGATGAATTAGGCCTCCTTGGGCACCGCTGGTTCTAAATACTCTTGTTGAGCCTGCCAGAGGCACAAAAGACAGTACGCATCTGTGGAAAGTTTTCTCCAGCCCAGCACTTTGAGACTTCTGCCAAAGCAAGTCAGGCAAGAGTCATACAGTATTTTGTCTGAAAGGGCACAGAAGCTCTTTGCCCTGAGACATTGGCCTAATAGCCTCCTGATGCTGCCGCTGAGGAAGAGCGGCACATCAAACACTGTGGCGTTTAGGGAGGAGGTTACGCCTCCCTTTAAACTAGAACATTCACAGCAAGAAACAAGAGCATAAGAAGACTTGCTGCACAGGCAAAACTGGGGGCTCAGGTTTCCACTCAACAGAGTCTATGAACAAACACAACCTTTCCAAACCAACGGGCGTCAGTAATAAGCCCTTACCAATAGTACCGTCGCTTGAGAATGACTCCCCTTCTATGAGGCCCATCTCCTAGCAAAGGAAAAGGTGAAATGCTACAAAAGAGGCCTATTTTGCTCTTCACTGCAACTGTTACAGCAAATGCTTACATAGTGCTGTCTTTGTCAGCTCCTGTCCTTTGCATGTATCAACTCACCTGTCTTTGAGCATCTTTATGAGGGAGGTATTATTATTATTAGCTCCCTCGTACAGTGGAGGAACTAGGCACAGAGAGGTGAAGTCACCTGCTTAAGGCCACACAGTTGGTAGGGCTCTGGACCTATGAACTCAATGCTGCTATGCTGGGCTATGAACCCACATGCTGCTGCTAACCTCTGTCTCACTAAGAATTAAGAGCATAAGAAATGCCACTGTGGATAAGACTCACAGTCCAGAATCCTTCCATCCATCCATCCATCCATCCATCCATCCATCCATCCATCCATCCATTCACCTGCCCACCCACCCAGCAGGAGGCAAGCACTGAGCTAGGCTCTGCAGATACACCATGGTGAACAAACATGGATGCCGTGTCCGGTGTTGGTAGTATGTTCTGCAAGTCAAGAGCTTCAGTGGCGGCCTCATGATCCCCATCATGCCCACTCTCCTGGCTGCAGTAGGGCTGTTTCCCTTGGAGGGCCAGGTGTGTGGTGATCTTTTGGGATCATTTCTGGAGAAGCAGTCTAGATCCCACCCCTCCAGCTCTTCCAGAGACTTTATATGTACTCAATGTCTTGTATGAAATCATGTTCTCCTTGACATGAAGAGAGTGATGTTTGCTTTCTGGGCTGTGGCTGACACACTTTCTCAAAGGGCTAAAGGATGGAGGTTAAAGAAGAGGTGCCTCAAGTGCTAGCACGGGTGAAAGGAGTGGTTCTGAGAGGCAGCCTGTGCTCCAGAGTAGGAGAGAGGGGTGCCAGGAGGGCACATGGGGCAGGTAGGGGCCCCAGGATCCAGGGGAGAGAGCCTAAATTTGTAGCAGTGGTCAGAGCTGGAACAGGAATCTGGAGCTGGACCAGGTCTAGTGCTTTCCTGGGTATCGCAGCGAGCCCAGAACATCTCAACTAGACGCTGTGTAGAAACAGCACGGAGCTAGATAGAAAGCACACTCTCCGAGCCCCCCACCTTCATGCCCCGCCAGAGCCTCAGGGCTGAGGACCAAGTTGGGAGAAGAGATGGACAGAAAGTTGCCCAGTCAAGGCCCACAGTTGGACTCTGAATCTAGTCTCGACATTTGCTTTTTTCTCATTATACATACTTTGCATGCCCTCAAATCCTCCGATATATAATAAAAATATATGTATTGCATTCAAGGTGCCCCCAACAAATATTCATTAAGCATGCACTATATGGAAATTGCCACTCTACACACTGAGGATATGGCAGTGAACAAACCAGATCAAAATTCCTGTCCTCACTGGGCTTACATCTACGATTGAAAACTTTAAATTCAAAAATTATCAAAAAACCCAAACAGGTAAAAATCACTGATAATCCCATCAAAAACTCTTTCTCTAGCCACATAAAGCAGGAAGTCAGAGTTCCTCCTTGTCCATCCAACCCTGCACACCCCCTACAAGGCAGCCATTATAAAGTTTTCCTTAATTTTTAAAGACTTACTAAATATACATACCCATATGTTTTTTATTTTTTTATTTTCCAAACAAAAATAGAAAAATGCTTGACAGAATGATCTACATTTCTTTTTTCCACCTAACAGATCATAAACCTCTGTTTTAGTCTGAGTTCTCCAAGAAGCAGAGCCTGAGCCAAGGATTCACATAGAGTCCTGCTAAGCACACTTGGAGTTGTCTCATTCATTTTAATGGCTGCACAACATTTCAGAGCATGTGTCTGTATCATTATTTACTAAATCCCCTTCAGATACACACATACTCCCCACCTTGCCCCTACTTCCTGCTCCCTGGCATTTAGGATTTTCAGTTAATGGGTCGATGTCATTGACTCACTGTAAGAGAGTATATACAACAAAGGAAAAGTTCATTTTCTGAAGGCAATGGCCGCAGGACAGGGTTCCGAGGTCTGGAGAAATGACAGTGTTGGCAGCAGGGAGATTAAGTCTAGGAAATTTATCACTGTCCTAATTATGCCCAAGATTTATGGCTAATGCATGTTTATGTGAATTTGGCTAAATTGGTCACAATGATAATCATAAAACTGAAAAGAGCTTATTAACTTAGTGGTTTCTTTGCACTTTGCCAACTATAGCAGCCACTTGCTTCTTGACATTCTTTGGTCTAAATCTCATCATAAATCACCAGTTCTATGTCTTCTAGAATTAGTCCATACTGCTGTATTTAAGACTGGTGATTTTTTTAATGGCCAAACTACATTAGATGAATGATCTGAGTGACTTTATCCGTATTTCGTGGTGGTGGCGTTCTCAGGTCATTGAACAAAGGATGGGAATTTATGTTACTAAGTTGAGAGCCAGCTTCCAAAGCTTCTTTCATATGTTGGTGGGTGATTTCAGATGCCCATCAGCACCATCAATCAGTACTTCTAGAGCCTCCATGAAATCCATGGTATAGCGGGGAGGAAGTTTCGTAGTGGCAGCAAAAACCTGGCATCTGGCCTTGGCCACCTGTGGGTCTGTGGCAAGTCACGTGGCCTTCCTGGCTTACTTCTTGTGAGGATCAAAGGACAAGCCCAATGTGGGAGCACTCTTCAACTATCAGCTACTGTAAGAATATACGGGAGGAAGAGTCTGGATTTGGCTAGGCTACTATCGCAGATAACCTTAGCTCTCGTCTATATGCCCACCTTAAAGGGTCAGCATCCTGACGCTGAACCCCTCGCTAGGGCAGAGTCCCCACTAACAGCACATTCAGCTCCCCAAGCAGCCGTAGCAAACAGAGTGGATTTTACTGAGATTTCATGGGGAGATGAAGGAGAAGATGCTTGCACACACTCCACGAATGATTTTTCCCGTCAGAAACATCTGTTCTTCCTTCAAAGCTATCTTTGGCCACCAGGAACCTTAGTTGTGTCTCCATCCTTGTCCAACAGAGACTGCCCAGCCTCAATGACTCCAGCCTCTCTTCACTCCTTAAGCTTCCCTTTGGGTCTCTCTGGGGCCCCTCCCTCACTGAGCTTGTAATCTTGGATTCTCATACCATCTTCCTACTCACTGTTCAAAACACCCTTCTGAAGTTCCCGCACTGCCCTTAGGAAGTGGTGGGGGAATGTTAAATAACAAAGGTTTTGTTGTCACAAACTTCTTTTTTCCTTGCCATAGTATTATTAGGTAATTTTGTTCTATTGTTCAGAATGTTTAGGGAGTGCTTCGATCTAGAAGCTTGGGAATCACAGAAGGCCACAGCCCCTCCCCTGCACCAATAGTAACTAGGGCCCAACGAAGTAAAGGGACTTTTGCCTAAGGTTACCGAACATGTGACAGCTGTAGAGCATGGCTGGCCCCCAATCCGGTGCTCATCTCCCTGTATCAAGCCTATAAGTGCAAACGAATCAAGAGGCTTTCACATTCAGGGGAACCCAGAACTCTGAACTGGAAGGGTGCTTGGAGTTCATCTAGAACAAATCCTTCGTTTTAGAGAGGCTAAGATGGAAATTGCCTTTTTGCGGTCTCTGAATCCTAAAAATGCAACACAGATTAGATGGTTACTTTAAAACATATGTACTTGCCTGGTGGGTATGATTTCCAGGAACATACACAGACTTAAACTGTTTCATGAGATTCCGAGCTCCAGCGATATCCCGAAGCGAGGCGAAGAGCTCATCTGCAGCAATTTTGGATTTGTGAAATGTCAGCTTAATTGAAGAGTCACAGCCTGAAACAATCCAGAGAGATTTTCTTGAGTGAACACATCCTTAAATTAGGCTTTAATCATGACGGCTTGAGCTCGATGTAACGCAGTTGGATTTTTTTTTTTTTTAACCCTATTTTGCCCCTGTTGTTCCCCAACTGGGTGGTTTTAATCCTCCACGAGCAATGAAACATACCAAGTGTAAACGCCTTTGACAGAAGTAGAACTCAGAATTGCCTGGGTTGGCAGCCACTGGCTTCAGTCCCCACACTATAGAAGCTTCACGGAAAGAAAGCTCCCCAGGGTCTGCTATCCTCAGAACATAGCTGTGGGAAAATAGAGAGAGACACAAAGAAAAGTACCAGAGAGTGCTGTGATGAACCTCTCTTGCTTGAATCCTACCAACAGTTTCCGGGAAATAGAAGACCAAGACTGAGAGATGATAGAACTGCTCCGGGAACAGATCTTACTGGGATGGGCATCTGTCTAATGTTCTCACAAAGCATATGGTGCCTTTCAAAAGGCAGCCATTCAAAGCTGGTAACACACAAAGAGGACCTAATAAGAAGACTATTCTCGGCAATGATTCTATTTTTCTTTGACACTTATAATAGCTGGATTTCTTCTCTATCTTGTTAGAAGCCTATTCAGAAGAGAAATGATCATGGATAAGTCAGAAGTTTAAAAAACAAAGTTCCAAGATAAGTTTTTTTGGCGGTCTCAAATACTCAGATACGTTAACTCATTCATCCGCATGGCACCCTTTTGAGACAGGAGCTGTTATCTTCCCCATTTTAAGGATGCAGGAAGCAAGGTACAGAGTGGTTGGGTAACACCCCTGTGAGCAGACCCTGGCAGTGCTCTGCCCATATCTGCTCAGTCACCCTGGACATCACTGTAGGTTTGTGGAACAGTTCTTGTGTACTCTGCTTCCTACCTCAAGCACCTGCATGCCTACCTTTCTATTTGCCTCTGTGTTTCTGTCTCTGTCTCTCTTCTTGTCTGTGGGCTTCCTCTGGTTGTAGAAGCATGCTTGGCCTTTGTGTGGGGCAGGCTGGAAATCCTAGGAAGTCAGCATTCATTGGAACTACCCAGATTTCTCATTCCCTGGGGGAACAGTTCCAAACTGTGGTCTCCAAAGCCTTTGCTCAGTCCCAGAAGGACGGAGCCCCAGTTGCCCACAAAGATAACTCACTCACTAATGTCCCTTTATTGGCTTTCCTTCCTTCCCTGGCCCACTTCCCTATTTCCTGACTATGCTTCCCGAAATATCTTTCCAAATACAATACTTGCACCCAAATCCCTGTCACTGGACACCAGAGCTTCCACAGGTGTTCAAACACACACAGCCTGGATCCTTTTTTGGGAGCCTGTATTCTTTTTTGGGAACAGCTTTATTGAGATGTAATTCATATACCATACAAATTAAATACCATACGATTAAAGTGTACAGTCCAATAGCTATTAGTATATTCACATAGTTGTATGACCATCACCACAATCCATTTTATAATATTTTTATCACCTCAATAAGAAACTCCATACTTGTGAACTTGTCACTCCCTTTTTCCATCCTCCTCCTTGTCCCTGGCACCACCAATCTGCTTTCTGTCTCTATGGATTTACCATTTCTGGACATTTCGTATAAATGGACCCATAGGACATAGGATCTTTTGGGACTGGCTTCTTTTACTTAGCATAATGTTTTCAAGGTTCATCCAAGTTGTAGTATACATCACTACTTCATTTCTTTTCACTGCTGACTAATATTCACTGTATGGATATACCACATTTTATAGTTGCGTTCATCAGTTGATGGGCATTTGGGTTATTTTCACATTTTGGCTATTATGAATAATGCTGCTAGTTTTATAAATTTTTGTGTAGACATACATTTTCATTTCTCTTGGATATATATCTGGGAGTAGAATTGTTGCCATAGAGTTGGCAACTCTGTGTTTAACCCTTTGAGGAACTGCCAGGCTGTTCTCCAGCGTGACCCCACCATTTGACACTCTTACCAGCAGTGTAAGAGGGTTGCGATTTTTCCGCATCCTCAACAATGCTCGTTATTACCCTTCTTGATTGATCCTAGTGGGTGTGAAGTGAGGAGAGGCTTGTTGATTTTGATAGGGAGAAATTGTTTTTAGGGAGTAGAGGTAGATCCAAACAAGCTTAAACTAAAATGGAATGTATCTAAAGTATATAGGGACATCCAAAGGAGCCTGACTGTAGCAGACACAGCCAGGTGGCATGTGAGTACTTGAACTTGTACCCTTAATTACTGTGGAACATTATATTATAATTACTCTTAAAGGGAGGGCAAAATTCTGAACTGCCTTTACCTACAACACATCTGACACTGAATGTGTGGGTCTTTTCCCCACACCAATCGATTCTCTAATTCTCTGGGCACCAACTGAGTGTCCTACAATTCAGTTCAATTTTGACACTAACTACACAGCATAGGCGCAGACCCCGCAGTTTAAGGGTTCAGGCCCATTTCAAATGTCAGTTGCAAGTCCCAGACGGCCACCTGCTCTCCTGACAGATCGGCTCCCAACTGAGGGTTCCCGTGACGCCTTCCTCAGGTTCAATAATTTGCTAGAACAGCTCACAGAACTCAGGGAACTACCTCCTTTGCCACAGAATTTTCCCTCCTATTGCCAGTTCATTACAAGGGATACAACTCGGGCACGGTCAGATGGAAGAGAGGCACAGTGCAATGTTAAGGGGAAGGAGCTTGGAGCTTCCATGCTCCCTTCAGGCGTTCTACCTTTCCAGCACCTTGATGTGTTCTCTAACCCAGAAGCTCTTCCAAGCCTATTATTTAAGCGTTTTTATGGAGGTTTCATTACATAGGCATGATTGATTCAATTACTGGCCATTGGTGATTAACCCAATTTCTAGCCCCTCTCCCTTCCCTGGAGGTTGGGGGGTGGAGCTGAAAACTCCAACTCTCTAAACATGCCCTTGTTTTTCTGGCAACCAGCCCTCCATCCTGAAGCTGGTAGGGGCCCCAACCACTAGTCATCCCACTAGCATACAAGTCACTTCTGTCACTCTGGTAGTAGCTGTGTGACAGAGACCGGGGACAAAGACCAATATGTATATTTCTCATCATATCATAAAAATTCCCTGACTAGTCTAACTCCTGGTTTCCAGAAATATCCAACTCGTGTCATTAAAAAGAAAAAAATCAGTGTGGTCAAGCACGGGGAGAGGAAGCCTCCATGTTCAGTGAACTGTGGTGAGGGGAGGGAAGAGGTGGAGGGAAGTCAGGAGATCATGCGAACTCCCCAGAATTCTATGTCAAGCTTTGTGGAAAGGAGAAAGTGTCATTTTCAGAGGAGCATGTCCATAATTGCCTCCTGATTCTTACAGAGGCTCATAACCAAAAAGAGTTAAGATCCACAGGTACAGGGCATGTGTTGATATCACACCATGCTTACCCTTGGCATTGCAGCCCTAGCTGAGACAGACCAGCTTGCGCTTTAGTTAATAACCAACCAGGAGAAACCCTGGAAGGTTATGGCTTCTCACTCATTCATATAAGCTTCTTTCCTTAAACTCTCAGCCTGAGCCATTTGAAATATGGGAAATCATACCAATTATATGTAAGTGTTGGACATTCTGTACTAGTCTTTCAAGTAAAAAAAGGCATGAAAATAAGAAGACATTGCTTGTCCTAATACCATGCACAATGTTTCAATTCCTCTAAAACACGATTCAGCTAATAGGCTAAATTTTTTTTTTTTTTTGAGAGAGAGAGTGTGTGTGAGCACATAAGCAGTGTGGGGGGGTTGGGCAGAGGGAGAGAGAGAATCTTTTTTTTTTCTTAAAGACTTACTTATTTGAGAGAGAGAGCGTGAGCTTGAGCAGGGGGAGGGACAAAGGGAGAGGAAGAGAGGGAATCTCAAGCAGACTCCCTGCTGGGCGTGGAGCTGGAGGTGGGGCTTGATCTCAGGACCCTGAGATCCTGACCTGAGCCGAAATCAAGAGTCAGCCGCCTAACTGACGAAGCCACCCAGGTGCCCCTAGGCTAAGTTTTTTATTTAAAGTAATTCATTTTTTTTTTTTTAAAGATTTCATTTATTTATTTGAGAGAGAGAGTGAGAGAGAGAAAGAGCACAAGAAGGGGGAGCGGGAGAGGGAGAAGCAGACTCCCCGCTGAGCAGGTAGCCTGATGCGGGACTCGATCCTGGGACTCCAGGATCATGACCTGAGCCGAAGGCAGTTGCTTAACCAACTGAGCCACCCAGGTGCCCAAAGTAATTCATTTTCTATCAAATAGAGAGATCCATCCAATCTTTCATATGGTCTCTCTTAATTTTTTGGAAAGTAACATGATGTTTATCCATTAGACTGAGTGGAATAGAATCATCTACTGGATTATAGATTACTGACAATTATAGATAATTCATGGAAATTGTGGATTGTACACTGAAATTAATGTGTAATTGCAGAGAGGTCAACTGTGGAGCAGACTGTTTGACAGAAACATTTACAGATTACTGATAAATTAAGCTCAAAGGAACCCAACAGAAAAATAAGGCTATCACATTGTTGGAAGGAAAATAAAAAGTCCTAAATTCACAAATAAAGTAAAACTTTCCTGAAAAACAGTCAATTATTTTCATTGTTCAAATTAACTGCACATGAGCAACTTCCGTCCAAAGCATCAACTCTTTCCAACGTGGCTGGTATCCTCAAAGCAAGTGTTCCACAATGTGCATGTTTCTGGGACACCAGGCCGGTCTCTGAGCATTATTTGTATTTATATCAATCCTCACCAAAAGCAGGATTTACATTCACTTACCCAAAACCTGTAATGAAAGTTTCACTCACAGACACACACACACACACACACTTTTGAAATGTGGATCAGAGGACATAAGTGACTTGTGCAGGGTCACATCACCATCCCTGGCAAAGTCAGTGTCCAAATGTCCCGCTCATCACAGACCTGAACTCCTCCATGTCCACCCCCGCCCACCATCCAGAATCCCCTCTGGGCATGCGGC